ATCATCCATCAACATCCATTTTTTTGTTTTTAAACATAGGAGCATCATAGTGCTTCCTTAAATCATCCCACAATTCCTTCCTTTCCTCTACACCGTTAGCAGCATATATAAATGAGCAAAAAAACTCTTTCTCACCCTCCAGCAGAATAGAACATGTTTTAATTTGACTACTTTTATAAACAGGACTCATCCTTACTTTTTGCTTCTACACTACTCAAATCCTTCCCAAATTATGATGCTCATAATTATTTACACTATCCCATCCATCAAACGCTTCCAAAAGAATTTTCCCCGCCTTCCTTTCCTTCACCCTTGTCTCTATTAAACAACCAAATTGCATATTCCTTACCCAACTCTTAACTACATCCTGTTTAACTTTTTTATTAAAGTCTCTGATATTCCAGAAAAAACCAGACATTATTGATGCTTCCGAGACCCCCTTGTAGTTATTACAGTCTCATATTTGTTTGATTTACTGCCTCTGATAAGACCCGGTGATGAGTCTTTGAGTTTCTAGGAAGAATTTTCCTTCCCCCCTCAGACTCCACAACCTTTGGTAACTCAGCTTCGCCACCTACTATATTACCCTCTATAAAGCTTATTTCATTATCATCCTTTTCCTCCAATTTATTCTCCTCAAGATTACATAGAGCAGCATACCTCGAGGGAGTGATTATGGTTTCTTGATCAAACTTTAACTCGCTAGGAACCTTCCACAGACTTCTACCAGCTTTTTCTTGAGATACATGTTTCCAATCCTTATCTTTATTATCCTCCGTATCATTTTTCTTGGTAATCTTCTCTACGATATTAGTACCCAATTCTACTGCTTCTTTCACCGTATCCACTCCTCCACCATAGTCCTTGTCAATCTCTACCTCCTTTCAAACCTCCAACTCTTTTTCTACCTCACCTTTACTTTTAACCCCTCCTACATCTGTATCTTTTACCTCATCACTATCCTTCTTTCCACTACTCTCCACTATCTTCAAATCTAGCATTTTTTCCTTCATTGGTGTTTTACTTACGTCTTCTTCTTTCTTTCTCATACTGCAGATTATGTCTAAGTGACCCCACTTCCTACAAGTTCTGCACTTAGTAGGTAACCATGGATATATAAATTTGACCATGACATCTTCCTCGCCTATCTTGAAGTTCATTTTCTTTGGCAGCTTCTTTGAAAGATAAGCCTTCACACACACTTTCGCTATCTCAAAGTCCTTATAAGCTATTGTATCTGGATGTAGCTTATCTGTACCCCCGCTGCACTTGATATAAAGCTAAGCCCTTCCCACGAGTATATACTCATCGGAAATTTCTCTAAATGAACCCACAATGGGGTCAACTGCTCAGATTCATCCACGACAGGAGACCATTTTGAAACTACCATAGGAATCCCTCCGATATTCCACATACCACGCCTCACTATCGTCTCCCTGATTCCTCCACTCAGAACTCTGATTCTCATCGTCACCGAATCCATTTTATAAACATCAATCTTCAAAGATTTTTCTCCAAATGTCCAGATCTTGTTCAATATCATATGAACCTTCGCAACGTGTGGAGCCTTTTCCAAGAATTTGGCTATCACAAAGTCTTTCCAAAGAGGGTTCGCCTCCTCAACAATTTCCGATGGAACCTTCACCGACTGCTCTCCTTCTAAGATCAAGATATCTAGATCATATTTCTTCAAACTCTTCTTCTCTGTTGCCATCACAACCCATGATTTCTGCATCCGTGGAACTACCTGAGCTGTAGAATCGATCGGATCCTCCGTGGATTCCATGCGTCGGAAAGGATCGGAAATTTCGTAACCGTAACCGCCTCGTAATCGCCTATTTTTTCCTTAGCAAAACGGTGCATTTCCAACAGCAAAAAAAAAAACACATTGATAAATTATTTTCCTACTTTACAATAAGTTTTACATCAAAATGTGGTGAGTATTTTGATATTTTTCTATAGTTTTAATGTTTCAGATATATAGTTAAAAATTGATTATGTTTGGTCGTATGGGCCAGTGGAACATGAAGTTTTGGAGATGGAAGTGCTGTCATGGGAACATTAATTAGATTCTAACACAAAATCAAGAAAGATATATTAGCAACTACAATTTGTATTACATCAGTCTTTCCAATAAACATTTTTTCTGATTTTTGATAAACCAATAATTGTTTTAAAGATGTTTCATAATAGAGAAAGTACTTATAATAGCACACATTTTTTTCATAATGACTAGAATAACATACAAAAATTAAGAAAGAAGGAAAATGTGAGTTAAAGTCCAAAATACCCAGAATTAAACCAAAATAACTTGTTTTGATAGAAAATGGAAGACTCTAGATAAGCTAGAAGCTTTGTGGAGAAAAAAGGTAAAAACTAAAAAAAAAATATCTAAACACTAAACATTGATTTAATTTTCCATTTTGAAAATAATAAATCTAAACACTAAACATTGTTTTCAATTTTTAGAAATGAAATTGAAATTTTTTTAAGAAAAATTAAATACAAATATATTTTTATAAAAATTAAGAGATGATCAATACAATTGCATGAATTTAAATAGAGAAAAAAATTTACTTAAAAGTAAATGAGTTCGAACGACCGATACATAAATGTGTATGAGACAGATTTAAAAAATAAGGTGGATCTACCATTTTATTATTTTTAACAAAGCATTTGATGAATTTTTATTAGATTTTATAATGTATAATATCCAGCGCTTTTTAAAGCGCGGATCAAAATCTAATTACTTTATTGAACTCATAGCTCAAATTGGAATTAGAATATAAGAAACTCTGAAGAGCAAGACAAAACAAAGTAATAAAGAAACCTTTTAAACTAATAATTTAATATTTGTGGATAAATAAATGTGTTAATATTTATCATGTTTATTTTTTGATAAATTTTACAAATGAACAGTATGTTTATATATAACTAAACATTTATTAGTAAGAAAAAAATATGGTAAAAATTATTCTCTCTTTTTCAATATAATACATGTTTTAGAGAAAAAATATTGTTTCTAAGAGATCTATATTTCATATTCTTAATGGATTAGTTAAATTATAAATTTCAAAACATTTATTAAAATCCTACTGTCAAAAGTTATGGGATATAGTATATTACAAAAAATAACTTAATAAATATGAATGTTAGTATACAAATTATAAATTTTCTTAATATGTGTGAAAATATTAAACATACAACTTATTAAAAGATAGTATATTCATCAATACTATTAAAACAAAAACATTTTTTATCTACTTGCAAGTAGTCTACCTCATATCATTACATTTATTTAATTTTATGTTATGTTACATACAACAAACTTAGTTATTATTAAATAACAACATAATATTAATATAAAATCTAAATATATTCGAAATAAGATATCAAAAAGATACTTTTAACTACTTTTCAGATTACATTTTAACAATATCTTTAATATATTTTTATTTTAAAAATGAATACTTATTGTTTTAATATTATTTAAATAATAAAAACGTAAATAATATTAAATTAAATTATAAACGAGTATTAACTCATTTTGATTTATAGAATAAGAACTAACTTTCTATAACATTTATATATAAATATTTCATATTTGTAACTAAAAATTACACAAAATAATTATAATATAAATTAATCAACTTTATAAATTATAAACTAGATGAATTACATTTACAAAATAAAAAAATAGTTCCATAAGATATTAAAAAATGAAATACTTTTATCTTTTAATATACATATCTAAATTAAAACATTAGGATATAAAAAATTAACATTTAATCATATGTACTGATACACAAAATAATAATAAATTTTTTTTTTCAAACCTCCACCAATACATAATAATATAATTATCATAGATAAAGTCTTAAAATCGTTTATATATATATAGAATTTTTATAAAATAAATATTAATAATAGCTACTATTAATATTTAATTATATGATTAAACATGTTATTACTGATATTTTAATGATTATAATTTTACATGTTATTCTAATAAACAAAAAAAATATTTATCAAATATAAAATTAATTTAACAAAATATAAAACATAATATAAGTTATGCTTGAGAATTCAAGTACCGATTGGGATACGGGTCGAATATTTTGAATCAAAGCTAATTTATATCACATCATAGGTGTCATAATATGTAAGTAGATATGTTTGTAAGTATGGATCAGATTCAAATATAACACGTCGGGTTTGGTTCTAATTTGTACACATCTTAAAACCGATAAAGTAACCATATATCGTTCGGATTCGGGTTATATTGATTTGACAATCTAAAATCTAAAACCAAAACAAAAGAAAGATACTTATTTTTATAGAATTGGATATTAAAGTACTTAGTTAAAATTTAGATAGTTAATTTTAAATATCATTTTAAAATAAATATAGAACTGAATATTTAAACTAGATATTTATGTTTCAAATATTTATATTTATGATTAATTTGGATATTCAGATCGATTCAGATTTTTTTTCCAGATTTTTTTGGTTTTTGGGTTATTCGTTCGGGTCTGACTAATAACACTTTGATTTGGATATAATGTGTACCACCCTACAAAACTCATTCTGATATATTTTAGATTTTTGACCGGTTACGGATCCAACTTTTTTTTTTAGATTGAGTTTAGACGTGGAGATTTTATGCACATGTCTACTTTATATAAAATAAAAATGCGGTCATATAAAATTTTCACCGAAAGATTATCCTGCATTTTAAAAAGACTATGTTTGATGAAATTAAAGAACTAAACAAGTTTATCTCACATTTCTACATGTATAAAAACGATAATATAAAATTTGCATCAAACATAAACCCGTCCTTTGAAAGCGCGGATCAATATCTAGTATTTATTAACTTACAAAAACAAACGGTTCGCTCCTACGCGCTTCCAATCCAAATAAACCGTCAGTTCTTTACTCTTGGGTTCAGACTGTTACATCTCTGGTAAAGGAAAAAAGAGAGAAGGGAACGCTTTAGGATGGTTTCCATCTTTAGGTTTGGATTTCTCTTTTAAGGTGTTCATCGTTTGCTTGATCATATGCATATTGTGCTACATCTGTTCATCACATTTGATATCTCTCTCTAAGTAAAGGTTTTTGTCCTGAGCTCTCATGTTTAGATTAATTCTGCATTTCTTGATTAACCTTTCAAATGAAGTTGTTTCCGATGCTTGGCCTGATTTGATTACCTCCCAAACTGACTTATGTTCAGTTACTAATGTTTTTATTTGTTAGTGTATGCTCTTTCTTACATCTTGTTAGCTTTAGATTTGGCCAGAGATGGTCATGTTCCTACCCGTTTTGACTAGTTGGTTGGGACTGTTACATCTCTGGTAAAAGTGTAAAACAAAGAGAGCCTTTTGATGGTTTCCATATTTTGGTCTGAAATTCTCTCTTAAGGTGTTCATGGTTTGCTTGGTCGTCTGAATCTCTGATGGCACGAGTTACATCTGTCCCCCACAACTGTATTAAACTCCACTAAGAGTCTACGACATATCTCTTTGCCTCCCATACTGTCCTATTTAGTCAACTCTTAGTTCATGTATCAATAATCATGGTTATGCCGTTGTAGTTTCTGGTATTTATCTTACCTTTTGTTTGTTTCCGTTGGTTAGGTAGATAACTTGTTGAACGGCATCAAATGGGATGACAAAGGATTAGCTGTGGCAATAGCACAAAACGTTGTCACTGGAGTTGTGTTAATGCAAGGCTTTGCTAACAGAGAGGCTCTCTCCACAACCATCACTTCTATTAAATCTACATTTTTCAGCCGATCAAGATCAACCTTATGGACTAATTAGGGAGAGACATCCAATAACTTCATCAATGTCCTCGATGTTTATCTTGACTGCGATCGATCGTGATTCGGTATGTTATTTCTGAAACTATTCATATTAGAATCTGACTCTTTACCTCTCTATGAACTGAAAACTTCATCGGTTTTGTGATTGCTCAGATAATCTATCTTGGAACACCTGATGCCTACTAATTGTCACACAGGGGCAGAGACTTGTTACTACACATCAGTTTTCCATCAACTAAACAATGATGAGGTTTGCTGTTTTGAATAAAAAAAAAAAAAAATCTTTTTTCTGTGACAAAACGTATGAAGTGATCAGTCTGTACCAAACCTGAAGGAGTGTACAACAAGTTGGTTGATGCATTCAAAAATTTGCAGAAGGAGTGTTGTTCGCAAAGAAAGACTTCCATCTCGCGTGCAAGCACCCGTTGATTGAGTCAGTACCAAACCTGCAAGTGATCAAAAGCTGATGCAGTCTTTCAAGTCCAAGGAGTATGTTAGGGAGACGTTCGCGTGGACTTACCTTCAAGAAGTATTCTAAGCCTATTGGTCGTCCTTTTGGTGGCCCACCTGGTGATCCCCAGAGGCGGATGTACAGCTAAGAAGGGTAGGGCATCTGCCCCCTATGCATTTTATAAAAAATAGAATTTCTTTACTATCTATAGTAAATTTTGGAGAAATTGATTAAGTTTGCCCCCCTTATAATCTCAAACATAAGCTTAAAATTCTTTCTTCTTTGAAGTTATAAAATTTTGCCCCCCATAATTAAACTTTCTAGATCCGCCACTGACCCAAGGGTGAGTTTAACTACTGCTCTTTGCTTTTTGGTCGTTGTGTATGTGACAAATGTTTGTTCTTTTTGTTTGATGACGTGGTGTGTGGGTTTTTGGAGTTTGTAGAGGACCTCGATTTGAAGGAGGAGAACATCCTAGTTAGGCGACCGTGTTGGGTACGGTGGAAGTTCCGAAAAGGGTGGAGCTCCAGCAGATTACCAGCCATCTTTCCCAAGTATATTCTCAAAGTCAGTTCCCTTTGCTTTTGTTTTCTTCTGTTACGTAAAGTTAATAAAGTCTAGTAATTAGATGCTATATCATTAGCCTTTCAGTATCTGATCCATACTTCCATCTGTTGATCATTTTTGGTTACAGTGACTATAAACCGATACTTAAGTGGAACTGTTTTTGCTTCTTACCCTTACTTTGTCTGGTTGCCATTGTTTTAATGTTCAACTGTGGTTTGTTTCCTGTTGTGCAGGGAAGTGGCGTTTGGCCGAGGTGCTGGAGGTTACAGCTCGATGAGCTCGACTCCACTTACTGATTACTGGAGTGCATAGACAAGACACTAACTTAGCCGAAAATAAGACTAGTATTCACTTTAGAGAGGGACAAACCTTGGACAAAAGACGCATATCAGGAACATTACCAGTTACAAGACGCTCAACACACACCAAATCACCAAAAAAAAGTTCAAGCGACCCTAAGACACACCAAGACAGGGGATAATGGACACATCTTAAAGGACATTAAAGAACAGACATAAGAAAGAAAACATAAAACAGGTTTCTTCATCTTTTAGTCGACTTCCTCCATCTTGCTCTCTTCAGCAGCGTCCTCCTCCAACGCAGGCATATCACCATCTTCCTCCGCATTCTCATCTTCATCGATACTCAGACCCAACTTTAACATCCTGTGAATCCTAGCTGCAAATGTATTCGGCTCATCAAGACTGAATCCGGAAGTCAACAAAGCCGTCTCGAACAGTAACATCACAAGATCTTTAACAGACTTGTCGTTCTTGTCCACCTCAGCTCTCTTCCTCAACTCCTCCATGATCCCATTGTCGGGGTTAATCTCCATGGTCTTCTTGCTCGACATGTAACCACTCATGCTGCTATCTCTCAGCGCCTGAGCCTTCATGATCCTCTCCATATTTGCAGTCCATCCATATTCACCAGTCACAAGACAGCACGGAGAGTCAACGATTCTGTCGGATACCACAACCTTCTCCACCTTGTCACCGAGTATATCCTTAATTGTCTTGCAGAGACTCTCGAAGGACTTCTTCTTCTCTTCCTTCTTTTTCTTCTCTTCTTCAGTCTCATCTTCAAGCTTCAACCCTTCTTTTGTTGCAGAGACAAGCTTCTTGCCGTCATACTCTTTCAGCTGTCCAACCGCATATTCATCAATGGCATCCACCATGTAAAGCACTTCGTAACCTCTCTTCTTCAGCTTCTCCAAGAAGGGAGAGTTCTCCACAGCCTTCTTGCTTTCACCAGTGATGTAGAAGATGTCCTTCTGACCTTCCTTCATCCTTGTGACATAGTCTTTCAAGCTTGTCATCTCATCACCACTTTTAGTGGAGTGGTAGCGAAGAAGATCAGCAATCTTCGCCCTGTTCTGACTATCCTCATGGATACCCAACTTCAAGTTCTTGGAGAAAGCCTCGTAGAACTTATTGTAGTCTTCTTTGTTCTCAGTGATCTCATTAAACATCTCAATGCACTTCTTCACCAGATTCTTCCTAATCACCTTAAGGATCTTGTTCTGTTGAAGTGTCTCACGAGAGATGTTGAGTGGCAAGTCATCAGAGTCGACAACACCTTTGACGAAGCTGAGGTACTCTGGAATCAGCTCCTCACAGTTGTCCATAATGAACACCCTCCTAACGTAGAGCTTGATGTTGTTCAGCTTCTTTCTCGTGTCGAATAGATCAAAAGGAGCTCTCTTCGGAACAAAGAGAATAGCCTTGAACTCAAGCTGACCCTCCACTGAGAAATGCTTAACTGCTAGATGGTCCTCCCAGTCATTGGTCAAGCTCTTGTAGAAAGAAGCATACTCGTCTTTAGTGATCTCCTCTGGCTTCCTCAACCAAATAGGTTTCTGCTTGTTGATGAGTTGCCACTCGTGAGAAACTTCCTTGATCTTCTTCTTCTTCTTTTTATCATCCTTCTCCTTCTCCTCGTCAACTTCTTCAACCTCACCTTCGTTTTCTTTCTTTGGTTCCTCCTCATCCTCATCATCACTGATCTCCTTCTCAGTGGTTTTCTCAGTCCAAAGGTAAATTGGATAACTAATGAACTCAGAATGCTTCTTCACCAAGTCCTTAAGTCTCCTCTCCTCAAGATACTCAAGCTACAAAGACAGATACTCTTGTAAGAACCCATGCCAAACAATCAAACGAAAAGACAATCTTCCAAACTCTCATTACCTGATCCTCTTTAAGGAAGAGAGTGATCTTAGTTCCTCTGCCAAGAGGCTCCCCATCCACATCCCTGGTGACAGTAAACGAACCACCAGCTTGAGACTCCCACACATACTGCTCATCGTCGTTATGCTTAGTGGTGACAATAACCTTCTCAGCAACAAGGTAAGCAGAGTAGAACCCGACACCAAACTGACCAATCATGCTCACGTCAGCACCAGCTTGAAGCGCCTCCATAAACTCCTTGGTTCCAGATCTCGCAATAGTTCCCAAGTTATTCACCAGATCTGTAACGTGTAAAGAAAGTCAAAACAACAACAGCAAATATTAGGTCATGAATGAATAACACAGATATTTATAGCGATTACATATCTTCTAAGCAGAAACAGACAAATACCTGCTTTGGTCATGCCAATGCCACTGTCGATAATGGAGAGCGTCTTGTTAGCCTTGTCAGGGACCAATCTAATGAAGAGCTCAGGCTGTCCATCGAGCTTGCTTTTGTCGGTTAAACTCTCGAATCGAATCTTATCAAGAGCCTGTAGGAAGAACCATATTCATTAGAGCCATGAGGAAACAGAGGAATATCAAGGAGAAGAGAAGAGAGGACATACATCTGAAGAGTTGCTGATGAGCTCACGAAGGAAGATCTCTTTGTTGCTGTAGAAAGTGTTGATGATCAAGCTGAGAAGCTGGTTTATCTCCGCTTGGAATGCGAACGTCTCCGCATCAGCCATCTGAACTTCCGCCATCGAAATTGGATTCGAAGAGACCGTTAGAGAAAACTTAGAACGCGTTTTGAGAGAATTATTGTTTTGTTTTTTATCTTAAGACAGGCGAGGAGGAAAGCAACCACGATTTGTATTTATAAGAGGGGGACATTTGAGTTCTAGTCTCTTTTTCTTTTTCTTTTGTTTTGGTCGAAGAGTTCTAGTCTCTTCTTTTGAATTCGAGGAGACGAGGTGATTCTCGATTGTTCACCTGAAACGATGTCGTATTTGTTCTAACCTGCAACTGTATTTGAAGAAAGTAACCGTTTTGGTAGGGGGGGGGGATCTGCCGAGTGAATTCCAGAACGTTCTTTCAAACATGACTCATTTAGTCCACGACCCGGTCTAATATCGGTTTAAACTATTTAAGCCGGTTCAATTCTAGTTTGTAGTTTTTTTTCTTTGCTACACTGGTTAATTAGAAACATTTACATAGATGTTTACGGCTTTGTTGATATTAGCTCCCGGATGCTTACCTCTGACCTTTATTTTTGCAGTATAAATGGTTAAATTTAAGTGTTGCCCCTGATATTCAAAGCTCGGTTAAGGTCCGTATACCAAAAATCAATGATGCTAATTTTTGTCTGGCAGTTTAGAATGTCTAAAATTTTGGCAATTTTTGTTGATCTGTTAGTTTTGTATTTAACCAAGTGTCCTTTTACCTTACAAATTAATATTCATGTTGCAGCTTTACGATGATATTCATTTAATGGAAAGGGAAAATAATTGCCATCTTACACCAGTTACATAACCAACGAGCATAGGAATTCAATTTTGCTCCCAACAACCAGGTGAATCCAAATAACATCACGAATTTTCGGAGGGTCTGCAATAGAAATATTTTGTTTATAGTCTGAATTTTCATATGTCTTGTTTTCACTTTTTGCGTTTGAACTCTTCTCTTTGTTTTTTTTTAATATCATACTTGACTTTTATCGTGGTTGAAGATTTAGATCTGTATGTTATTTTTTGTTTAAATATTTTGCACTATAGCAGTTTACTAGGTGATAATCCGTGCATATGCGCAGATAAAATTTATATATAAATAATTATTAAATATCAATTTTGGACGTTCAACTATCATTTCATAACTTTGGCTGTTAATAAAAAGTTGATGAGTAGGGTAATGTTTGTTGATACTTTTTTATTTTTTTAACCTATTTACATTGGGTTCCAATAATATCATCGAGATGTTAAAAAATACCATCTCACTTTGGTAGGAAAAATTATATTTTTGAATTAATAAATAATTTTTGAGATCTGCACTCGTAGAATGAACAATAATTATGTATACAAATCATTTATACATATTATTATTATTTATTTTATTTTCATTTAGGTATTATGCAGTAAAAATATATTGAATAATTGAGAAGCGAGTAACTATTACATATATAGTTAAGCTGGAGTAAACATATAAAAAAAAATGACCCCGCTTTGTATTAACAATATTTTTTTGTTGGTAAAAAAATCAAAATAATTAATTATTTATTTTATATGGTATATAATTAAACTTAAATGATATTAACAAAATTATATAATATATTTTAATATGAATATTTATTAATTGAAGTTCGTACTCATATGATAAATTAACAAATATTATTTTTAGTTTATGAATATTTATTAACGGATGCTTCCTACTTAAAGCAAATTTTGAAATAAACATATTTATGTATTATATATATATGTATTTACTCTAAATATATATTAAAGAAATTTCATATTTATATGATTTTATGATCATTTTTATTTTGTTATAACAAAAAAATAAATTATTGATCATAAAGTTTTTAATGTTGACTTTAACAATTTTAGTAATTTATAATCGTTTAAAAAATTCAAAATATAGCATATAAGAAAAAAACTAATAATTTTATTATATTATTAATGTGATTGTTTAATTTACTTTAAGAATATAAAGTTTTTAATGTTGACTTTAACAATTTTAGTAATTTATAATCGTTAAAAAAAATTCAAAATATAGCATATAAGAAAAAATCTAATAATTTTATTATATTATTAATGTGATTGTTTAATTTACTTTAAGAATATAAAACTATAAAATGATGGAAGATAGAAAAATGTTATCATATCTTTATTATTTAAAATCATTAATTGTCATATATTTGTTAATCATATTAGGCATTTCCGTAGCTTTTATTTAAGAAAATAATATAGAATATTCTTTTATACACTACCAATTAATTGCATGGTTAGTTTAATAAAAAAATATATTATATATTGAGATAGACCAATTTTTTTTTAAAGATTCTAAAAATCAACATATTGATGATATGTGACTACCAAAATATGTTATAATGCTCTAAGATTAATAAATAAAGGATATAATTTCATTTATTTATTGAAAACCAAATTTATATATCGACATGTGTGGCTATATTAGCTACAGATTTGTTAGGGAGATTGTTGTTAATGTTTGCAGCCTCAAAGTCATGGTTACAGAAATTCACTAGCAAAAATTGTTACTAATTAAAAAATGAACAAGTTGTAGCTATGTTATTGCTATTGGCTACATAAATTTATTTTGCTAATTTTTCGTTAGTTGGATACGACTTGGCTACAAATTGAGTTTAGCGTTGGAGCTGAGGTTAAGGAAACAATTTGCTGCTTGTTGTTGCTTTCTTAATTCTAGCTACGGATTCACTCTAATATCTACAAAATAGTCGGTAGTTATATTAATAAATTCTTGTAGTGTAAGATCTTCATAGCAATATTCTTGTTTCTTTGTTTTTCAAAAGTTACTAGGTAAGACCCCAATATAACAGGGCCATGGATTCAATCATTCGTATTAATTAAACATACATATTCTATAAAGCCATGTCAGAACATTTTACGAATTCTGCAAAATCAGTTCTCTAAGAAAATAAAACACAAGGAATCTAGAAGTATATAGATCCTTCAATGTCTCCTTTTGTTAATATGTTGGATACTATTCTCTCTTTGGATGTTGGATATGAATATGTTATCCATTTATATGCACTAGCCTAAGGCCAAACAACCGGTTTAAAACAATGAAACTGCACGTCATCTGTGAGGTATTCCGTTTCTTTGCAATTGTTTCGAAAGTTGAAACACAAACTTAGAAATGAAAAAAAAATTATTTGTATCAGATTTTTAACATGCGGAATGGTTTTTATAAATGGCCACCAAACTTTAATGTAGATGTTAGCGCTGATAAAGAAACTAAGTTGGTACGGTATGGTACTAAAGGAAGAAACAAAGTATCAGTGTCATTGAAGAGAGAGAGTAAGTGGTAAATGGAGTTTCGTAGTTATGAGGTTGATGGAAAATCTCCAACTTCTGAGCTGCCTTGGTTATATGTTTGCCTTTGTAACAATACTGATGATAAAAACAAAGGAAGTAGAGCTTCTAGCTATAGTTTGCACGAATTTACAGTAACTTCACCGTTTGAAAAGTAGTCTTTATCCCTTCAATAATTTTAGTGGATAGTCCCCACATGTTAACGTTAAAGCTGGAAAACTTTCGCACGTTATGCGCACTTGGCAAACACGCCTCACTTGTAAAATTTGGCTAAAGAGAAGAAGGATGGAGAAAAGAGAAGAAGCAAGGAAGTCTCATGTGAATAGAGGGTTGTGGAAACCTGAAGAAGACATGATACTTAGAAGCTATATTGAGACCCACGGAGAAGGATACTGGGCAGACATCTCTCGTAGATCCGGTCCGAATCCAAACTTTCCACATATGTTTCATTTTACTCGTGTTGGAGTTTTTGAGAGGATTATAATTATGTTTTCTTGTGTTTCAACATTGAAGAGAGGAGGCAAAAACTGTCGGTTGAGATGGAAGAACTACCTAAGACCAAACATCAAAAGAGGAGGTATGTCTCCTCAAGAACAAGACCTTATCATCCGCATGCATAAGCTTCTCGGACACCGGTATGTCCTCTTCTTTTACCATTCATCATCACTCTCAAAGGTTAACTTCTTATTTGTAACATCAGATAGTCGTTGATCGCTGGTCGTCTTTCGAGTAGGACTGACAACGAAGTCAAGAACTACTGGAATACCCATTTGAACAAGAAATCCAATTCCAGGAAACAGAACGCAGCTAAACCAGTGGATGTCGACAAGCATGTTATGTCTACAGAAGTGAGAGGAAGCCACAGAGGAGAAGAGGGTACTACGACTACATGGATGGAGGAGACCAACTTCTTAGCCCGCATTGGATCTCCCCTGCCGCCTCTCATTTCTCACTACCCAGACACTCTTTCGTTTGACCAACCTTTTGCCTTCACTGATTGCTTTCCTTTGCTTTAAACCCTTAGGAATTTCCTGATTTTATCTCTGAGGGATAAATTCTTGCATAGACTTTGCGAATCATATCATACAATTGACACTGAGGGACGTAGTCTAAGCAAGAATTAATTGTTGGTTAATTTGGGGTTGGTAACCCGAATGGGTGTGAACTATATACTGGATAATGATTGAATCACCATATTTTCCTTAATGAGTATTTCGTCCTTATTCCAAGCCTTTGGGTTATGAAATCTCTTTGTAGGGTAAGACAAACAAAATCACATTCTTGTTTTAGGCTAAGATACAAGAATAACAAATAGAGATTTAATGCTTATATGTATTTCTTCAAAGATCTTTGATGATCTTTGAACAATGAATCTCTCTCTATCTACTAACTAGTTTCTGATGTTTCTCTCTTGTTCAAATTGTACAAGTTGTGATTTGTCAATGCCATAACTCTCTTATATAGAGTATGAAGGGTTGCAATGGTTAGCACCAATATTTGCAACTATTAGAACCAACAATTGCAATGGTTGGCCAAAAGTCGCAATCATTCTTCACTAAAGGTTTTAATCATCAATAGTTGTAATGATTTATCACCAAAGGTTGCAACGGTTCATCACTAGTAGTTACAATCACAAACAGTTGTATTTTTTCAATTAAACATTCCAATGTTTCACTTTAATGGTTGCAATTGTTCATACAAATAATTGCAATGATTCACATGATACATTGCATCTAGTCATTTCAATATCTAATGATACATTGCATCTAGTCATTTCAATATCTAATGATACATTGTATCTAGTCAATATATAATGAATGATACATTGTATGTAGTCACTTAAATATCCAACAATACTCCCATTTAAGTTTATTAATAGATTCATTAGATCAGTAATACATATATCAAACTCATGCATAAATGAAAATGTTCGAAGAATTGAATTTTCATCTTAGTGTAATACATATTCCAAATGCCTGAGAATCATGATGTCTTACGGATTGAATCCATCAACCCATTTTGTGCACATGAAGATAATACACACACGTGTTTCCACACTACTCTTAGTGTTTACTCGACACTATTATCAGCCAGGTGTCCTAATCCATTCATGAATGTATACAAAGCCAAGTCTCAGCTAATTGAAACGGCATCACTTCACATTCATATGGGTAAATACTTTCACTCATGCACCTACAAATGCACTTTTCAAAGTATTTATTAAGAATAATATTTCAACCTATCTCTTTCTTGCAGGTCCAAGCACATACCTTGGGATGGCATAAAAAATGTGTTTCAATCTTTAAGTGTAGGTTTTTCACATTGAATTCAGCTTCTAACGTCGTATTAAAGAGGAATTGGGTATCCCACCATTAAAGATTTCAAATGGACTTTAAACTCATCCCTTGAACAGACTCAACTACCAAGTCTCTAGCTAATCATTTCGTCAAATGATATGCTACTTTTCTTTCGGACCGAACAACCTCTTTGGTAATCATCCCGTGAGTGATCAGCTCACATACTGCGCTATATCTAACTCCAGATGTCACAATTTACTATTATACACGTAGTTATAAACCTTAACTAAGACTTCTTAACTATCAAAGATAAAAACTGGTGATACTATTTCGGCGACAACAGAATATCATAAATTAAATTCTTTAGCCAATATGCCTATTTACCATCATATGCTAATGCTACAATTTTCTATTTTACAATAAAAATTTTCATGCAAATTTTCTCCTTAGAAGCCCATGAGATGGCATCTCCCCAAGCAAATACACTCAACCACATATAGAAGAATGATCTTCTATATTGATAATAAAACTTGCATCTAAATACCCTTCTACCATCGAAGGAAATCTGACATATAACAAACCATAATTTATGGTTCCATTCAACAATCGAGTTGTGATATTTATTGTCCTCTATAAGGTCTAAACTTCACACTCATGTCCATGGGAGTTCTCATTGGAGAACAATCTCACAATCAGACTTCTTAACAACTTTTCTCTATAATGAAATTTTGTTAAAGATAGTTTTTTATTTGTATGTGTGATTCAAATTTCAAGAATCACATCCACCTCCCTCATGTCTTTCATTGTAAAACTTGAGGACAATAATGCTTTTGTAAGCTGTACTTATCTATGGCTAGTTCCAAAGATCAATATGTCATCAACATATAAGCAAATGATTTATTCCATTACTGGACTCATCAATTTGTTATATATATAAACACTTATCATAGTAGTTTAACTCAAACCACTTGATAAGACAAACCTCTTTGGTCAAGACCCATTTGTATCTCTTGGATCACGATACATTCGTACATGTTGGTCCACGACAGGTTCGTACCTCTTGGATCACGATACACTCGCATCCCTTGGTTCACGATATGATCGCACCCTTTGGATGACACCCCTTGATAGCATACCTTGATGGCATCTCTTGGTGGCACCCTTTTGTCGCATCCCTTGATGGCATCCTTTGGTGTCATCCCTTAATGGCACCCTTTGGTGACGTCCTTTGATGGCACCTTTTGGTGGCGTCTCTTGATGGCACCCTTTGGTGGTACCGTGTTCAATCATCATTAGCAATGTTATTTAAAATGAAACTAACATACCTTTGAGAATATAGAAATGATATATTATTCTCCATTGTTTCATCTTCTTTCTTCATCTTCAAAAATATACTCACTCAAGCATTTCCAATTTTCCAGACTTTGATTTAATCTCTCGGATAAATACAAAAGTTATAGTTCACAAAGAAAATACTCTTTAAGATTGTTGGTTAATTTGGGGTTGGTAATCCAAATAGGTGTGACCTATATACTTGGATAATGATTGAATCGCCATACTTTCCTTAATGAGTATTTCGACCCTATTCCAAGCCTTTGGGTTACACGAAATTTCTTTATAGGATAAGAAAATCAAAGTCACATTCTTGTTCTAGGCTAAGATACAAGAATAACAAATAGAGTCTTAATGCTTATATGTGTTTCTTTAAATCTTTGATGATCTTTGAACAATGAATCTCTCTCTCTCTCTATGTACTAATTGGTTTATGATGTTTCTCGCTTATTCAAATTGTACAAGTTGTGATTTGCCAATGCCCATAACTCTCTTAGATAGAGTATGAAGGGTTGCAATGGTTAGCACCAATATTTGCAACTATTAGCACCAACAATTGCAATGGTTGGCCAAAAGTGACAATCATTCTACACTAAAGGTTTTAATCATCAATAATTGTAATGATTTATCACCAAAGGTTGCAACGGTTCATCACTAGTAGTTACAATCACAAACAGTTGCATTTTTCCATTTAAACATTCCAATGTTTCACTTTAATGGTTGCAATTGTTCATACAAATAATTGCAATGATTCACATGATACATTGCATCTAGTCAATTCAATATCTAATGATACCTTGTATCTAGTTAATATATAATGATACATTGTATGTAGTCACTTAAATATCCAACATTAATCATGAATTTTAATAAGCCCTGCTTCATTATGATCTTATTCTTATCTTATCAACATCAACTCCAGTACTATATGTGGGAACCAAAATTTGCACTGTCAATTTTCCGTAAAATAAGGAAACTTAAGAAAATCCTAATATTCCTAAGGTCTCGGATCTCTGCGAGAGCCAACGACAAGTAACCAAATATATGCGGAAATTATGAAAAACATGATAAAACAAATTGATAAAGAAAGTAGATCTTATTTCGAATCCGCATAAAAGCGTTGTGATTATTACAAGAGATTACAAAAGCTTTGACCGCAAGAGCTGTCAGCGAGTTATCGAGTTCTAGCAACAGAAAACCTTAAACCTATTTGAGTCGCAGCTCGATAACAAAAGAAGAAAAAAAATACGAAAAAGGGTTTTGATTGATTTCGGACTGAACCTTATGAAAGGCTGCCTACGTACCCCTTTTTGAGGATCAAGCCAATCGTAGTTTAATTGATAGAGCTGGACAAGATATCGAACTGCCTGAAAATTTTCATCTAGTAATTGAGTGCCAGTCATAGAAACCGAACTTGTAGAGAATATAGCCTAAGTTTCTAAGTGTAGAGAGTTCTAAGTCTAAAAAAATTGTAAAAGTTATTCTCTTCTTTGGTTTGACCTTGTGCTTATAAACTCTTCCTCTAGGCGGTCTGATATTTCCTTTTTCGCCCCGATTCGTATCTTTCATATATCTTCCATTTATCCCGGTCTTCTTATTTATCCTTGGAAAACTTTGATTTTATCTCCAAACTTGATATTTATCTTTTTTTTTTTGAAACACAACTTGATATTTATCTATTCTTTCGAATAATGGGTAAAACGTCATCATATCTTTGGGCTGGATTTCGTCTAAAGTCGTAAGTTGGCCTTTATCGCGTTTTAGGACCTTTCAGGCCATTTTGCGTTTTAGCCGTTATACGATTTTAGACGGGATCGTTCCTTGATACGATGCCGTTTTTAAAAACATCTCGAATCAATCGTTTAGTTTGGTAACCTTCGGTATTTTGTTTAACAGTTTCCGTTTTATACGATTTACTCAAGTTTTTACAAGAAAACAAGTATTTAGCGGTTTTTATTGTAAAGTTTCAACGATATTACGGATCAAGACAAAATGAGAGATGTTCCTACCACAGCTCAGAGTATGATCGAGTAAAATGGCATATGCCTTGTGTTCGGCCGACCAGCGGTCAATGGTGTGGACAGTTAGGCCAACTCACCAAGCCGATGAGTTAGTCTTGCTCAGCTCGCCGAGCCGGCGAGCTGGATTGGCCCGGTCAGCTCGCCGTCTTGGCGAGCTGATCGGTCTGGTTCGTCTTGGCGAACTGATCGGTCTTGGTTCGTCTTGGCGAGCTGATCGGTCTTGGTCAGTTTGCCAAACCGGCGAGCTGGATTGGTCCGTCCAGCTCGCCGTTTTGGTGAGCTGACTGGTCTTGGTCAGCTCGCCGTTTTGGTGATCTGACTGGTCTTGGTCAGCTCGCCAAGCCGGCAACCTGGATTGGTCCGTCC